TGTATAGAATTTCTATATGCTGGGGTAATCAGAACTTTAATTGTAACTTTAATAAAACTTGTAAAACAGTTTAGGCCTTGTACTTGTGAATGTCTGTGTGGTCACTACCCTTGGTCTTTATGGGCTCCTAGAAACTCTAAATCTGAAGCAAGTGGCAGAGGTGACTTCCACTCTGTTAAGCTTGAAACTGTAGCCCTCAGAGCCGAACCCACAGTGGTATAATACCACATTACAAAATTCACTTTAAATAACGTAAAAGCCTACAATGACTAACAGCAGGGGGGAGTTGATTCTCCTCCTAACAATGTAGGTGGGATGGGAAGAGAGAGACTTTCTGTTCCCCTCTGAATCTGGGCCCAGAGCAGGCCACCACCAGCCCCCTTCTCAGTCCCCAGTGGAGGTAAGGAAAAGAGATCCTTATGGCTAGGCAGGGAGCAGAGGTGGAAGGGGTGGCAGGAAGGAGCAGAGTGGAGGGGATGGGCAGTGAGGGGAGTGGGAGGAAAGAGCAGAGGGGATGAGGGCAGGGTTGGCTGGTGATGATCCTTTTCTTTTAGAGCCTCGAACAGAAATTTAATTTGAAAGTATTTTGTAGTTTGTAAAAACTCCTGGAGCTGCTTTTTAACCAGCCTGTTGATTTCTTGGCTTTTTGCGTCCCTTCCCTTTGCTCCCAGGCATGCAGCAGACTGTGAGTCTATAATAAATTACTCTGAGGCAGCCGCCATGCTGATTCTATGGATTTCAATTCTCCCAAGTTTCCCTTTAGGCTACTTCTAATTAATAGCTTCCTTTCCGTAACATCCCAGCCAGGGGATGTTCTCGCACCACCTACCCCTTATGGTATCACCAGAGACCCCACTTATGAGCAGAAAACACTTTTTAATTTTGTCAGCCCCTTTCAGATCAAGTTCTTCTCCTTATAGCTTAAATTAAAAAGACAAAGAGATGAGTTTCAATTTACTATGTTCTGTTACACAGTGTGTCACATATTCCCCAGTGTGTCACATATTCCCCAGTAAGTGCTAGTCATTAAAGAGCCTGTGCAAGTGAGTTTGAGGTGGGCCCTTGCAGTTCTGGTGGAGCCCAACCGGATCTTATTTCTAGTTCAACGGATAGTAACCTAAGTTCTGCGTTTGACGCTCATCCCCGTGACTGGCAATGCAGGGACGCAGGCTGAGGTATCCCAGTGCATCACTCCAGGAGGTGCCACCAAGTACAGCTGAGGAGCAGAAGGAACTTGGAGCCAGTCTGTAGGGAGCTGAAGGGCTAAATCATAGGAAGCTTGGTGAGACTGAGCATGTGAGGAGATGCTCCCTGAACAAGCAGGAGCCTGAAGAGCAATTTCCAAGTGCAGGGAGGTGTGGAGCAGAAGCCGCAGGGGCTCTTGATAGCAAGGCTGACCTATCGCTCACAGCTCAGGGGAGTGGAGGGTGTGGAAAGCCGGACTATTCCAGTCAGGCCCCTCAGGCTGACCAATAGGCTCCTGAGGACAGATATTGGGTAGCATTTTCAAAACTCACCTAAGGGACTCAGGAACCTGAGAACCAGTGATTTTTTTAGTAAGCAGAAGTGAATTTTCATTGGGACTCTCATAAAATCCTAGAAGATGCAGGGCTGGAAGGCACCTCAAGAAGCTGAGAAAACTCTGGCTCTTGTTCTCAGTGTTCTGCACCGAGATACTCAGGGCAGACACACAGGCTGAGACCCTCTCCCTCCCAAGCCTCCTTAGTAGACGGTCACCCCAACCCCTTCCCTCCCAGGAGATACAGAAGAGGGTCCCTAGCGGGCAGAGAACTCCACCTCCCCAGGGAGCCATTGCTGCTGCTGCCCGCCCCATGCAGTGTCAGAGTGAGATGTGTGAGTGGCAGCCCACCAGGGGAGAGGAGGCATGGTGGCAAGGAAGGCCAGGGTGGCAGAGGGCTCCTATCATGGGGGAGACTGCAGGACCCTAGCCAAATGCTCCTCTCAGTGGCCACACACTGTCCCACCTTCTCACCACATTCGCCTCCCCAGCGACCTGGGAATTAGCCAATCCCAGCTGCCAGCCACCCGGAGCATAGCGGGTTTCCTAGTGTAAGTCGGGGGATGGTCCTGCTATTGTGGGGAACTTTCCTGGCTTATGCACTACCCCGGTGAAATTACTAGCGAAAGGATCTGAGTCCTCGCTCCCACTCCCTTTACCCAGAGGCCTGCCTAACCTCGAGAGCCCCCCTTCCCTCGCTCTCCGCAGCTGCTCACCGCACTTTGCTCGCATGTCGCTCAGGGCACAGCGGGCGTCTGCTCCCCAGCACTGGGCCCGCAGCTCCCCACTGTAGCTCCCCACTGTCGGCGTGGCTCCAGCTCCCGGCTCTGGGCTGCTCTAGCTGCAGCTCCACTCTGCCCTCTGGGCTGCTTCTCTGGCCCTCTGGTTCTGGCTACTGCCGCTTTCTCCTTAGCTCTGCCTTACTCTGGATCAGGCAGCTCCAGCTCACAGGGAGGATGGGATCCTGGACTCCTGACTCACTCATTGGCATGCCTGCCCTGTCAGTCAGACTGACCTGGGGATCACTGTCCTCTCTCCATTGGTCCCAGGAATTGTCTGTCTCAGGATCTTGATTTCTCATCAGCCCTTCCCCTTTCTTTTGGTACTGGGAGTGGGCCAACCAAAAAAACTCCACTACGTTTTAGTAATGGGCCAAAAGTCCCCTTACAGTAGGCATCACTGAGACAGGGGCTCATGTGGGGCCTTGGGAAGCTGATAGTATAAAATGCAGATTTGCTTAAACAAGACAGAGTGAAGCAACATCTGGTACCTGCGGTTTGGGATGTCCAGGGGCAGTAATGCCAGTGCCTCAAAGCCAGGGTTTAGCTGTGTCTGCAGAGAGCCGCAGGCACGCAGGGTGTCAGTCACATCAATTAACAATGACACCAGCCGCAGCGCGGGGTCTTCCTCTGGCCAAAGATTCCCAGCTTTCGTTCCTTTGTGCTGCACCACAGTCACTCCTACACAAGAGCAGCCTGTGAGCGAGCCCAAGAGGGGAGCCCGGTGGCTCAGACAGAAGGGTACACACTTAGCATTGCCAACCTGCAGGCAGCATCTCGGCACATGCAGACTGTTGTGTGAGAGGAGAGTGCGGGCAGGGAGCAGCGTTAGCTGTGTATTTCATAGCAGTCTGGGAACAGACTCCCCTGAATGTGATTGCATTCTGCAAGCGACTAGCCCTGTAGTTGTGACTAATAGATGTTGTGGCCATTGGAGCAGTCATTAGTAGAAAGTGTGAATCCAAGGCATGGTAACTCAGGGGGACTCAACACCGGAGACCAATATAACCCAACCAAGAACATCAATTGAAAAGAAACCCCCAGCTTGAGAGAGGCAGCAGTTATGCAAGGCTGTGTCTCCAGGTGAAGACATTAGTTGGTTAATTTAATCTTGGATAACCCTGATTAAGATGAGGCCAGGTTGTATCTGCTTCCAGACTCAGCTTTCAGAGAGTTTTTGGAGAAAACAGCAAGGATCTGGTTGGTCACTTTTCACTTGTTGTGATGAAAGAATGTCATGGGACTGGGAGACACGGCCCTGTGCATGCAGAGATAGCTGGTGCTGCTTTACATTTCCTGGGTGTAACGCTATTCAATCTTCTGGGATTGCTCGTGGGCAAGTCGGAAAGCATTGCACTTCACGCCAGCCAACAGTGTCAAAGCATGTGAGAAACATACCTTTTAATTAAGCTTTATGATGCCTCAGTCAGGAAGGTAAATGTTGCCCTTGAATCTCTCTACTGGCTCCCCATTTTCTACTTCATCAAATTCTACCTTCTTGTCCTCACCCTTTGACCAGCAGACACTTCCCCAGATTTTCATCCAGATACTGCCCCCCTATGCTGCAACCACATCAGATTTGCAGTATCATGTACCCTAGGATCCTGGCTCCTGATGTCCTGGATCAGGCCACTGGTCAATCCTGTGCCCAGTATTCCAGCTCCTGCTGTAAGGGATGCATGGAAGTGTGTTCCCTGGGCCTATTTAGATGGTAAGATCTTTGGGCCAGGGACTGTCTTGTACTATATGCTGGTACACAAGGTAAGGTCCCAATCTCTGGTGAGGCCTCTAGGCACCAATGCAGTACAAATAATGTAACACATCAGACCCTTAGACTATTGCTTCTATCTACTGGACAGTAGCTGATGGGACCCTCCCACCCATAATGCTGCTGGTCACTTGTGCCTTGCTATGGCTGGGAGGGGGAGTCCTTATTACCTCCCTGGGGGCTAGTTGATGGGCTGAGATTTCATTATACTTCTTTTAGTTTGCACAGCTTCAGAAGTGATTATCGGCCATCAAATTATCCTCTCTTTAAATCCAGCCATGATTTCTGGCATGATGACCCATGGGGCACTGACTCCCCCACGTTAACTAGATGCCCATTTCCCTCTTTTTGTTTCCCATTTACTTTCTTTCACTATGATTCAAGTGACCCTACTCCTTGAGTTATGAATAGGTCAAACTGGTAAGATTTTACCTAATGGTAAAAAAGGAACCGAAAACCTTGGAACTGCTCTAACTCTCATCTCTTTTATTCAAGTCCTGCCAGGCCTTGAATCATTTTTGTTGGCTTCTCTGACCTTTTCCAGCCTCTCCAGGGGACCTGTTAGTAACTCCACTGAAAGGTTCACTGTTATTCAAGATCATTATATTTTTTCTCTCTCTTTTGAGCATCTTTGCTTTTTAAATATCTACTGGGCACTGGGCAAACTGAACTCCATGGGGACTCCTGAATCTTTCCCCTAAGAAGCTACTATGAATTCAGAGGCTCTAAGTTTAGGTTCTTTTCCCCAAAGTGTATTTCTTTGCAGTGATCTAAATTAATTATAATCTTCCATTGTGTTGCCCAGCCACTGCCTGGATTACATCCTCCAGACTCCCTCACGAGCATCCTGGGGTTTTACTGATCTAAATAGCATTGTGCCATTTGCACAGTGCGACCCCCCCATTCTGTCCACATCCAACTCATCAAGGATACATTCCTGTTTCTGTCTCTTTTATTAACTCTTTCATGTTATAAAATATAATGGGACCTTCAGAGAAGCTTCTGAACAGGTCTCTTCTCTTGTATGTTTCCTTCTTTTATGGCTCAAGTACAATAGAAATCTCAGATATTAACATGCTGCTTTAGAATGTAATGTACATATGAACAATACATGGATCAAGGAACATGCTGAGTCTCTTACAAAACATGCTATAGTGTGTACAGAAACCCATGGAGGGGAGGTTGTGAGTTGGGAGCCTGCCTAGGCCCCATCAGGGTGAGGCGTGGGGAGGCAAGGAAGGAAGTGTGGGGAGGACTGCCCAAGGTGAGGAGGGTTTAAGATGTGGCATCTGAAGCCCAGAGTGGAGCTCAGGTTGAAGCAGAAAGTGTCTCTTTACGGTAAGCTCTTTGGGGAAAAGCCCTTGCCTCCACATCCATCTGTGAAGCACCTAGCGTGTTGTTGGCACTATACACATAAGCAATAGGCTGTAAGCAGGGCTAAGGGGCACTGGCATTTCCAAGGTGGGTCCCGTCCAGCACAGAGCCCTGCACAGACACCTCTTCCCACCCTCCACCTGGGGTTTTGGCTTCACTGCTTGTCATTTAGTCTCCAAACCTGGAACATATATTTTCTCATTCTCTAGCGTTCTGTCCTATGCGCCACACAAAAGCGTGAATTCCACTAGCACTGGCCTTTGGGTGTAGAGTGCTGAGCTTTGGCATCAAGGTCTCTGCTATACGTGGCCGCTTTTGGATAGATAAGCAATCAGTGCTACAATCACACCAATGTAGACCCCTGTGCCGATGGTGATGGAGAGCGCAGCAAAGAAGAGGGCCCTCCGGGAGGCCGAACTTGCCATATGGAAGTCCCCCTTGGAGACAGCCTTACTGGTCTGGAAAGAGAAGACAATGTGTAAGTGACTATTAACATCATCTAACCCCTCTGGGGAAGAGGATTGACTGTTCACTTACTCCAGGGAACAGCACTGACTCCCAAACTTTATCCCCCTCTTCCCTTCTGTGCAACTTTACTTTGATACAGCTTTCCTTTAAAAGGTAGGTTTGCGGGCTTAAGAAGTTTGAAGTACATGTGTGCAGCTGATATTCTTAAACTCCACTCTCATAGTACAGGGATAATTGCACCAGCTCTTCCCAGCACAATATTTCTTGGTGAGTAGCTACAGATAGCCATACATTTGTAGATGGATCAGTCTTTGAACTGGTTGTGTTTGGACTTCTGAATATGTCACTTCGTGCACTTGTGGTCTCGAAATGTAAGTGCAATAGAACTTCCTTCTGGCATGACATAGTGATTGCACATGCAGGGACACTAGCTATATTGTACTAATAGTCTTCAGTATGTTGACTAATCAGGAATCTGTAAATTATTTCTGGTTACATTGTACTAAAAAAGGGATAAAGAAGAATACTGAAACAGTATAATGTCATTACATATATTGGCGGGTTGCCCTCCTCTGATGTTTTGTTCTGGCCACATCATTTCAAAAAGAATATGGCAGTTATAGAAAGAGTTTGAAGGGGAGAGATGAAAATGATCAGAGGCCTAGAAATACTTTCATGGGGGAGAGGTTAAAAGGGTCTTTCCAGGCCTCTAATCATTTTCATAAAATGAAAATATTCACAAAATAGTGAATAGGATAAAGGGTGTAAATGGTGCGCTGCCCTTTACACTTTCTCATAATCCCAGAGCACAGGGACATTTACTGAAATTAAAAGGCAACACATTTAAAAGGAAATACATTTTTTCCACAATGGATAAATAACCTATGGAACTCACTGCCACATGTTATTAGGACATAGTGGAGTCAACATGTATATGAACAACAAGAATACTGCAGATACATTAGCTAGGATAAACCAATCACTGACTGATAGGAGTGAGGAAGAATCTTCCCCCAGAGGCAGATTATTCCATAATTGATTGTTATGGGAATTTACACCTTGGCATCTGGTTCTGGGTACAGGCAGGGAAACAGCAGCAGACAGCCTGGACCATTGATCTGGCAGTACCTGTGTTCCTAGTCATTTTTTAATTGCTGTTACTTTTTCCTGTTTCTCCTATTACACCTCCTCTTTAAGATGAAGTGCCCTGTACTGAATGCAGTATTCAAGGTGAGGACGCACACCACTCTATGCTATGGCATTGTTACATTCTTCTCTATTCCCCTTTCAATATCCAGGCATCTCATTTGCTCTCTGGGCCACCACTGCACAGATTCAGGGTTGCTTACAGTGACACCCCGCTCTGCTTCCTGTGCGTGTTCTCAGTTGTTAAACAAACACAGAGACAGTCCCTGCCCTGAAGAACTAACAAACAATCCAAGTAATAACCAAGCACCATGTACAGCAATTACATTAGATAAACAAACAACCACAAGAGCTCCTCTTCAAAGAGCTCCAGTAGGTTAAAGAACCCACTTTGCTTCACAGATGCTGTGCTAGGTTGTTCCTTTCATATTACACTCAGCTAGGTGCCCTATAACTTATTTTATTATTATTTCTGCTGTCTCCATTTAACTTCTTAAGACTGTGAGAAAAACTTGGATCTTGGTATCATCCAGTATAAATCGAGCACAACTCCATCGACTCCGAGTGAATTACTCTGGATCTACATCCATGTAACTGAGAACAGAATCTGGCCCATGCCCTGACTAGAGCAGCAACCAGTATGAGCTAATACAGGCCAAGGCCTAGATTCTCTTCCTATTTGTGTCAGCTTTACACTGCCGAGTTACACCTGATTTACACACAAGTGTGAGGAGAATCAAGCCCCTTGTGTGATCTGGGAAGATCACAATGGACTCTTGTTTTAATGGGGAGAGCTGTCAATCCTTCCCCAGCTTTAAACAGGAGAGTAATATTGACTCAAGGTTTAACCAGCCGGTCGGCAAGGGGAGGTGTTATTATCCCTGTTGTATAGAGGGGAAACTGGCTTTATTTGACAACATCAGAGGCCATTACTACAAACATAATGAATGGAGGGACCCCTGTAATGAGAAACAGAGGGCAGAGTCTCTGCTCTGCCCAGTCTCCAAGGCAGCTGGATTCTCAAGCAGATCCATTGCTGACTCTGGAACAGTTTGGAGTAGCCTGGGGGCAGCTCCAAGCTACACCAGATGGTAAAAGTCACCCAGGAGACCATCCACCCTCCGGGGATTGTTGAAGCACAGAGCAGGGCAATGTAGGAACTGACTATAGCACAGCTCCACCCCAGCCAAAGACTCGCCTGTGCTGGAGAAATTCTCGTTTGGCAAGTTATAGTCAGTTTCAGGTCCTTTTGCTCCACCAGAATGGCACAAAGGGTGGGGCAGAGACTCTGGCCCATAGTATCTAGTCTCTGCACTGAAGGGCAAGTCCTCTAGTTCCCCCACATGATCAAGGAGAGCCCTGGATGCAATGGAACCAAGTAATTCTGCTGTTGGGTGAGGATGAAGGGTGCCCAGAGCACTCCACACCCTGGAGCATGACTTGCTTTGCCCCAGCACACAGAGCTACAGGTCAGTGAGGGTTGGAAACGGGACCCATGGGAATGACAGAAATGTGTGTCTCACTGACCGGAATGGTGCCAGGCCCCTGACTCAAGGGGTTCTTCTGGCTTGCAGGGTCCCTGCATTAGAGCCATTACCTAACCCAGCATGTGCAGCACAGAAAAGGAGACATCAGCAGATGGGATTCCTCACCCTATGGGAGAAGTAGAAGGCAGCAATCCCCAGGGGCCAGAAGCAGCAGAGCATTGAAAAAATGGCCAGGCCCAGGTGGTCTCGTGGGGGGAGCATCAGGAAATGATCTTCACTCTCACTGTCACTCGAGGAGTCACTCTGGAAAACAAAGGAGTTCAGTGCTGCTGATCAGCGCGGGGCCATCAGGCCTGGAGAGAGTCCAGGCAGAGAGAGCCTGGGAAGAGCAGTGCAAGTGCACCCCATTCACCCCTCAGAGGGACACGCTGGCATGTCTGACACTTACGTGACCCTGAAACATGTCATGAGGCCAGCCTGTTAAAACCAGGCCGGGGGCTGCAAACACTGACACAAGGGTTTCCTCCCCTCCTCCCACCAGTCTGACACCAGCCTGCGCTGGAGGGATCTGCCACAGAGATAAAAAAGGGGTGCAGTCATTATGGCCCATTATGTGTGGGGGAAGGTGTGATGGGAATGGGGCTGAGATGCAGGATCTCATGGCCTGCAGACCACCACACAGCCGCCGGTGGAAAAAACTTTTGGTCACTACCAACCTCTGGCCACTCGGAGCTTTTGACACAAAATGCTCTGTGTCCTATTACTAAGGGCTTTCCCTGAGTTAGAGTTGCCCCTGCCAGTCTGCCCACCGATGGTATTTCTAGGGCACTTATCTCTTTGTATCTAAGCAGTGCTTCCCACCCCCACCCCCTTCACTCTCTGTATTTCAGTCTCACCTCCTTTTCTTTCCCATCCCTTTCATATATTCTCTAACTCTTCTGACCCGAACATTCAGAGAGTGAGTTTCTAAAACACTGTATCCTCTCAAGCTGGTTTGAGGAGAAAGAAATGTAATGAGAAAATTTGGGGATTGAAATGGATTCTGATTTTCTTCCCAGGTTGAGTCTTCAGCAAACTTGGTGGAGATTTGGGATTTCCCTGGAAATTATTTTTATACCTAAACATCTTGGACTTTGGCATAATGGGCTGTGTTGGCTTTAGCAAAGTGCCTCATTCTCATTAGGACTAAGTGGGTTTGAGACTGCCAGACTGGGTTTGAAAGTAAGGGAAAGGGCTTGGATTTGAGCCTATCCTAATCTCATGAGAACCCCTGTTCCTCTTTTCAATGTGCGTGCCACTCAGTGTCTCATACTTTTCTCCCTATCTTGGGTACCCTTTGGCCCAAGTTTGGAGGGGGCACGTTTTAGTGGTCTAAACCCATGGAAATGGGCAAGTGCCTGTTTCAGTCTGGAAGAGGCATATTGCCATGGTCCAAAGAAATGGATTTGGAGATAAACAGCAGATGCCAACAATAGCAGGGTTAGTGGAATCCACTCCAACAGAGTCCTGCCTTTGTGAATCTTGTGTATTGTTTTTGGCTTCTATATTGCATGGTAAATCCTTAGCGAACACAGGACACGTCAATATAAATAGCCATAGCACAGATTTGCCAGTCATTATTTTATTGCAAGACTCATGATATATTTATATTTTAAGCTTCTCATGATGGTTGGTATCAAACTTGTGGAACTATCCACAAGTTGGTATCAAACTATGACTGAGTTGCTTCAGATTTCATGACGAATTATTACATGGACTCTGGTAGGGTCAAATCAACCTAGGTTTACTGGAAGTGTCTGTTCCCTTGAGGGGTGGGGTGTGGGAGACAAAGGACCATTGGCTACCCTGGTCGTACTCTGACCTTAAGACCTTAAGCAAGACCAAACAGGACAACAAACTCCATCTCTCAGGTCCTAAAGGAAAAGATGCATTAGTCACAGGCAACAAAGCAAATATTAGAGTCCCACACCAGACCCTTCTGCCCCGAGGGAGGCTTTGGTCTCTGACAGTCTCTGAAAATTCCCTGGCCTTAGCCAGGCCATCATTCAGGCAATCTCTGGACAAGCCCCGGCCCCAGCCAGCCCTTCTTTCAAGGAGCTAGCACAAGAGGTCTATCCCACCTCCTGGTCAGCCACTACAGTGCTGGGCTTTTGTCCTTTTAACCCCTCCCTCTATTTTTGAAACCTACTACGGGTATAGCAGGGTGGGACTGATTAAGTCCACAGGCTCTTATTAACCCCTTATTGATCTGTATGGGGCTATGTACCCTCTCACCTGCCCTTATTCAGAATTTTCCATTATTTTCTGTAATGCCACAGCCATAGTCAAGATGGCCACCACTGCCTTGCACTGGAAAGTGAGGCTGCCCCTAATGAAGATGGCCACCATCTCCCATTGTTCTCAACTGAGCCTAAGTCAGGCTGATATCAGGAAAATTGGCCACCTCCTGAGCTCTGAGGCTAGGAAACTGTATCAGAAATTTTGAAGAGACAGGGAAATGCTGGTACACACAGAAGAGAGTAAAGAGACAGGAAGCTGTAGGGTGCATGGAGGTATAGAAGATTACTGAGAAAGATGAGCAGGAAGGGAAACTGAAAGAGTTCTAGGGAAAGTGGGGTGCAGGAGGGAGACTGAGGGGAATGTGGGGGCAGAGTCAGACGCTAAGGAGTGCCAGGAAGGTGATTAAGGAGGTGCAGAGTAATACAGAGAGCATGAGAGAGACTGGGGATGCAGAGTACTGTGGGTAGCAGAGTGGGAGAATTGAATGATAAGAGACTATCAAAGGACTGGGAGGGAAAATATGAGGCATGGATCAACAACAGGAAACTGTGGGGAGCATGTAGGGAGAATGTGTGGGAGGCAGGAGATTGGGTGTGGCACAGAGGGTGTCAAGATGGGACTGGAAGGACGGTGACGAGACAAGATTGCTATAGGGGAGGGGAATGGAGAGGGATAAAACGGCAGCTTCCTCACCCCATGGGTCAATGAGGTCCCCTCTGAGCAGCCAATCAAGATACCCACGTGCCTTGTGATAGAGCAGCATGTACACCACATGTGGCTGCCACACAAAGTGTGACCTCATCATTCATCTGCACTTAGCCATTGCATTAAAAAAAGGCCTATTTCAAAGGAAACAACCCCTGAGACAGCTCATTCTCTTGGCTGAATTTCTGGTCAATCCACGGTGCCCCGGATTACTTTCCAACCCTAAAAATATAACAACGCCTTCACTGCAGTGCTGCTGCTGTGCAGCTATTTAGCTGACAGAAATAGTAACATTCGCTCTGTAATAAGCCAGAGCTGGAGAGGAGAGGGGTGGGTGGGGAAGGGCAAATGTAAGAGAAACTCACAATAATAGGATAACATTTCAACCAATGGGACTGCAATATGCAACTGAAATGAGATCACATTATAATAACTGATTGAGTCCTCCCGGATGCTTTAATCCCAGCTCCACTTTGATTTCAGTGTGAGATTAAATTTTCAAAGTATCCCACCATAAATAACCCTGTTGGACACCAACAGAAGCAACTGGGACACTCTGTGGTGATGCTGAGTTCAGACACACAAGGGATGGTAGAAATTTAACACCTTCAGTGCCATTTGTGCACCATCTACACCCAAGGGCAGTTGGACATATTCATCGGGGAGCAGCTTGTTGCTGTTTCTCCTAGAAGTGGCTCACCTCATACTCCTGGAATTCTTCCTCCTCCACCTCATAGGACACTGTTTGGATTCTGATGTCACTCTCCATCTGGCATGACGCTTGTTTTTCTCGCCCATCTGCAGCCTCAGAGGGGGCCTCTTTGTTTTCCATGAAGGTCATCTCGCAGCTCTCCCCCTTGTTGTCCTTGGCCTTGAGACTGGTCTCATCCTTCACCAGGATGAAGTTGGGACCATACAATGCTTCAACAGCCAGCTGCAGAGAACTGGCATCCAGCAGCTGGTGAGTCCTGGCACTGCCAGTGTTTTGAAAGATGTAAAGTTTCCCCTGGCAGCAGTGATTAGGGTGATGCTGATGGTAGGAGTAGCTACCGTGAAGATGCCTGCTGCTCTTGGCCAGCAGTGGGTTCTGAAGCTCACTCAGACTTTCCATTATGCTGAAAATGGCCTGGAGGAGCTAACGGGAGGGTAACCCTGAGGAATAAAAGAGAGTAGAAGGAGTGAGTGTATAATATCAACAAGGCAAGGCTGCGGATTCAGGGGAACCATTCATAGTAACATCTACTGGTCACAGCAGAGATGACTGCAGGACACTTGCCAGTGCAAAATGGCACTATCTGGCTGCACTAGAGAGAATAAGAATCTAGGACCCCTATTCCATGGCTTGAACACTGTCTCAGATAATTGAGGAGCTGTTCATCTGTCACAAGCTGATAGTGAGCTAAGAATGTGATGAGATGATCTGATAACATCAGGCCGGAATGAGTGGTGGATTTGCTATATCTACAATGCACATTCAGAAGGGACCATACAGTCAGATAGGAATGCCTGTTGCATCCTTTCTGGTGGCTCATAATTTATATTGCGGTAGAGAATACCAGATGGCATTGCAGTAGATGCACAGCTGGCATCCACTTGAGGGGCCTTTCTGACATCCAAAACTAGCAGGACACACAGTAAATTACAGCCCTTCATTCATTACAGGTTCAGCAGCTAATGGTTTCTAAACATAGTTGAGCTTTCATAGTGCTTTTTAATGCCTGGGCTTGGGCTGGTGAGGGACCGAGTATAAATTCAGGGAAGATGGAAGGTTGCTGTGAGGATATTTTAATTACTGGTACCGTCTTAGTGTTCTCTTGGGGGGACTGCCTCTCCATACACTATACAAAGCACAGTAAGGGAGAGAGGGATTGAGATGCTGAGGCCTGATCTACACCCACAGCTGCACGTATCTATCTATTGAAGGTCTCCATCACTGCAGTATCTGAGCATCTCACAATCTTTAATGTATTTGTCCTCCCAGCACCGCTGTGGGGTGGGGAAGTGCTATTGTCCCCATTATACAGACGGGGAACTGAGGCACAGAGAAAAAAGGGTATGGCTAATATTGAGCTGGGGGCATGATTCCCATCTCATGGAGACACTTACGCTAACTCTCATTGAGCTAGCCTGTTATGAACAGAATGCAGCTGTGGCTACCCTGAGTCCCTGCCTAGAATCTCAGAGAGGTACGTACTTGGTGGCTAGCCTGTCCCACAGCCATGGCTATATTCTATTTTTAGCTGCTGACTCAATGAGAGCTAGCACAAGTATGTCTCCTTGAGCCGTGAATCACACCCCCAGCTCCAAGTGTAGACCTACCCAGCCTAGGGGTATGTCTCCATTAGACACACTACTATGGTTCAACTGCATCACTGCAGTGTAGACACTTACTATAGCAATGGAAGGGGTTCCTTCATCAGTGTAGTAAATACACCTCTCTGAGAGGCGGTAGTTAGACTAATGGAAGAATTCTTCCATCGACCTAGCTGTGTCTACACTGGGGCTTAGGTCGGCTTAATTATACGACACAGGGTGTGACATGGCCCTGAGAGATGTAGTTAAACGGACCTAACTCTGTAGTGTAGGACAGCCCTAAGTGACTTCCCTAGGGTCAGGCAGGATGTTTGTGACAGAGCAGCAATTGAACCTGGGTCTCCGACAGCCCCAAATAGCATCCTAACTACTGCACCATCTTTCCTTTCTAAACCCATTTTTCTAAACTAGTGCAACATCACAGCTTTAATCAAACCAGCACCACCCCGGGCATAGAAAAGCCCTACCACTGAGCTCAGTTCCAGAGAGTCTAACTTGAGCTGGCTGACGTTTTTTTTTGCACCAAACAATTTCCCACCAGAACATGTGATTGTCAAAATCAAAATTTGCCATAAGAAGATTTTGATTTTGACAAAATTGTTTGACTTTCCATCAGCAAAATATAAACAAAACAAACATTTGGTTTTGAACAGACATTTCCTTAAATGACATAAAAAGAATCTTTTTTTTTTAAATGTCAATTCAAATAAAAATGTATTCATTTGGGAACAATGAATCATTTCATTTTAATTAACAATCACCCATTTTAACATTTTCAAATCAAAATATTTTGGAACCTTTTGTTCTGTGAAAATGGCTGATATTTTGACTTTTCCTCCTGATTTGGCAGGAAAACAAATGTTAGAATATCAGACTTTCCCTGGGGTACAAACTCCGTTATTTGGCCACCTCTAATTCTAACACTAGACATTGTGTTTTTACAGCAGTTCTTTAGCATGCATCTGTCTCCTGAACAGACCTCAATGGGATACCCTGCTGCCTTGCAGCCCAAAATGTCATTTCTCTTTAGACATATTAGTAATTTCTTTCTCTGCAGTATGTTATATATTATAGGCAGAGTCATCTGCCTGGTGTAGGGCTCTCTGGGTTATGCCACTCATTCTGATCTAAAGCATATCACCTTAGTTTTATCTGTCCTCCAGAAAAATTTAAATAAAGAAATTGAATTAAAGACTCCTGAGGATCAAAAGCCCAGTTAGCTCCTATGTGCTTGTCCCCAGGGCCAATCCCAGCTTCTCCCCTACTGTACAATTCCTAGTATTGTATCCGGCTTCAAAATGTCCCTATCAATGAACTTCCATGCCTTCCCTTAGGGCAGCATTTCCCAAACTTTTGGAAGTTGAGCCCCCCTGTCATACATATAAAGGGAAGGGTAAACACCTTTAAATCCCTCCTGGCCAGAGGAAAAACTCTTTCACCTGTAAAGGGTTAAGAAACTAAGACAACCTCGCTGGCACCTAACCAAAATGACCAATGAGGAGACAAGATACTTTCAAAGCTGGAGGGGGGGGAAACAAAGGGTTCTCTCTGCCTGTGTGTTGCTTTTGCCGGGACCAGAGCAGGAATGCAGGTCAGAACTCCTGTAAAGAGTTAATAAGCAATCTAGTTAGATATGCGTTAGATTCTGTTTTGTTTAAATGGCTGATAAAATAAGTTGTGCTGAATAGAATGTATATTCCTATTTTTGTGTCTTTTTGTAACTTAAGGTTTTGCCTAGAGGGATTCTCTACGTTTTGAATCTGGTTACCCTGTAAGGTATTTACCATCCTGATTTTACAGAGGGGATTCTTTTACTTTAATTAAAATTCTTCTTTTAAGAACCTGATTGCTTTTTCATTGTTCTTAAGATCCAAGGGTTTGGTGAGGATTGGTGAGGATTTTTATCAAGCCTTCCCCAGGAAAGGGGGTATAGGGCTTGGGGGGATTTTGCGGGGAAAGACGTTTCCAAGTGGGCTCTTTCCCTGTTATTTTTGTTAGATGCTTGGTGGTGGCAGCAATAAGGTCCAGGGACAAAAGGTAAAATAGTTTGTACCTTAGGGAAGTTTTAACCTAAGCTGGTAAAAATAAGCTTAGGGGGTTTTTCATGCAGGTCCCCACATCTGTACCCTAGAGTTCAGAGTGGGGAAGGAACCTTGACACCCCCCTTCAGAAAAATGAAATAATTCTCTCTAAGTTACCCCTCCCCCTCAAATCCTTCAGCACCACCTTGTGTTGTTAAAGGCCTACCCATCTTACTTCACACATCTTTCATGCCTCTCCCCACCAAGAGAGTCATTGAGATCATAGTCTAACCTCCGGTATGTCATAGCCCACCAACGCCACCCAGCAGCACCCACACACTAAACCCAACAACCGAAATAAGACCAATGGCATGCCCCAGATTCTTAATTTTCCCATCCTACTACAAATTTCTATTTGAAGCATTAACAGATAAGGAAGACTTAGTAAAAATAAATTAATAAAGGTCGTTGCAGGCATATATGGGAAATTTTCAATAGAGAAGTGAAACAATCTGGATGATGTGCATTTTAAAAATATTGAGGGAATGATCTAACAAATTATAGCACTGACAGTTAATTCAAGGAAGTTACAGAGAACTGGGTTTGTAATGGAGGGTTGGAAAAGGAAAAAAAGTGATCCTGCCAATTACTTTCCTGTAAATTTAAATTCTATTGCTAATAAAATAATGGAACAAATAATATGAAAAATCACGAGACATCTACAGGATAATGATCCAACCATGGAGTTTGTGAAGAAAAGATCTTGGCAGACAAACCTGCATTTTTAGTAAAACATTTGACAACTTGTCTCATTACATTTTTTTCTGCCAAAGTTCATTCAAAGTGGGAAATAGTCACTGAACTGGACAGAAAAGTGCCTGAAGGACCATGAGCAAAGCGTGCTGATAAATGGCCCCGTATGGGGTTGCAGGGCAGCGTTTAGTGGATATTGCATGTTTCAATGTTACATCCAGTCGTATTTAAGATCTTCATTAAATGATCTGGAAGAAGGAATGAACTGCACATTAATGAAATTTGCACACAGTACTACACTGGGAAGCATTGTGAATATTGGTGAGTAAAGAAATAATGCAAAGGGTCCTGGGGAAATTGAAAACATAAGTATGAGATAAAATGAAATGGAACTAAAAGAAAAAGGCTAAAAGAGATTTAGTGGTGATATTGGGCAGCAAGTTAGACCGGCAGTGAAATATGGCAGCAAAACAGGCCACTGTGAGGCATCAAATAACAAAGCCCAAAGGTGATTGTTACACTTTATACAACTCTACTGCAAGTGGACCTGGATTATGTGAGTTTGGGAACCTTATAACTAAAAAGATACTGATGAACTGGAAAAAGTTCAGAGAAGATGGGGCTGGATGGACAGATTTACAAGGAAAGACTGCAAGAGCAAAATCTGTCTTGCTGGGACAACACAGAGGGACATGGTAACAGTCTGCAAACAGCTGAAGGGTGTAAATATCCGGAAGGCCGATGAATTACTCAAGGTGGCTCAAGGGAGTAAAATTGGGAGTAATCAAGGAACAGATGGGAAAATGTAAGTTAAATACTAAGAAAGTCTCCCCAAGAGCAAGCGGTAGTGGTTGCAGAATTCTCTCCCATGGGAAATGATGAAGGCCAGCCACTTGGGACTTTTAAAGCTATGCTGGACAAAGCACTAAGCTACATAGAGAACAATCCTGCATTGACAGCGGGTGGACTTGAGGCATCCAGGGTCTTTTCCCTCGCTAATTTCTGTAACTCTGTGTTACAGAGATCCCTCTATTATAATGTTCTCTGTGATACAAGACCCCCAACACTCTTTTCCTTGCTGCCCTTCAACACCCCAGGGGCTTGGCTCCCAGAGATGGTGTTATAAAGAGAAGAAAAAAGGATATTGCGGTGTTGATTGTATGGGATCAAAGGGCCAACAGAGGAAACCTAAGTACATCTGCCCTGAGCCATCCCATAAGACTGTGGTTGCAGCAGGGAGGAGTATGGGAATTGCTGTATTAAGGAGATGGCCAACTCTGCACAGGGAGGATCACGGTCAGGAATCTCTCTTTTGTGGAACAGCTACAGAAAAATCCCAGCAAACTGCATTCCTCCCTCTCTAGGGAGAAAGCTGGATAACAAGGGCTCCAGGATAAGGAGAGAAATGAGAAGCGAGACCTTTCCACCACAGGTCTCATAAATATGCAAAGTTACCCTGAAGTGCAGCCACAGGAACAGTCTCATTATTAGGTTGCAGCTGTAGCTTTATGTGGAAGTGGAGCATTGAGGGATATTGTGTCAGAGCCCTATAGATGCTGTGCTCAGTTACATTGTAATGCAAGCAAGGAATATGCTTCCTGCTTTAATACAACAGGGTTAGCATGTCCTCTGAACAGCCCTCTAATATCACAGAGACAGCTGGGGCAGGGAAGGGGGGGGGAGAAAGACACAGTTGTTGAAGGGTTAGAGATCATTCTAATTTCTTAAAGGCACCAAGGTCACAGCACTGCACAAATATAGCATGTGAGTGTGTGTGCGTACACGTGCTTGTGTGCAGTGAACAAAGTAAGTTCTTTGGGGCAGGGACTGTGTTTCATATATGTTTTCACAGCACCTACCATGCTCCTGAGAATGTGTGGATGATGCAGGGAATCACAGGCAAAGACATACAGTCGTCGTCCCCCACCCCGACTCCAGAAGAGACAGAGACCAGCAAATCATGCAGTAAACTCCAAACCAGACTGGACTTCCTTGGGTTCTTCAGTGAGTTTAATGCAATTGGGGCCATCATCAGACTTTGGAGAGAAAGAATGAAACTGGCAGATCAAAGCGAAGAAGCAGTGAACAGACAAAATTGGCTGAGAGCAAGGCACACTCCATCCTCATTATAAACTCACTTGGATGGAATGTGGCACTATTCACCCCACAGGATTAGTCTGCATAATACTGAGAGCGGATAACAGCAGGTGTCATTGGGTGGTTAGGGAAGATACATACACACAAACAGAGCTCAGACACAGAGATGCATCTGGAGAAGAGAGTCTATCAGATTGACAGAGACGGACCGTACCTGCAGTCAGGCTGGGATATCGCCTCGGTACCCATGGATGCTGTCTCTCCATAATTACGTGGCTGCTCTCTCCCTACAGCTGCACACTCATAGTCACTCCAGAGGGTGAGGCCTCTGCACCCCCAGTCTCAGCCTCTCCTGCCCATTGCTCCAGTCTGTGGCAGAACACAAAACTGATCAGTGTGCCTTACGCCAAGAGATCATCAAAACAAGTGCTGCATTGGAGGCAATGGATATGAACTGAGCTAAGGAGAAAAACAAACAGGGCCAGATTCTGGTCTAGGTAGTCCCAGGATAAATCTGGGTCTCGCTCACAGTGTGACTGATGTCTCCCAGCTCCAAAGCCCCCAGCTCTCAAGACTGGACTGGCACGTTTATCCTCCCCAGTACAATATCGTTACAGTCACTGAATACTCTTCTCTGTGGACAGTCCTTGATTCTAATTTGACACTTGGCACAGATGCTGGGTGTAACAAGCTGGGTTAATGGTAAAATAAGTAGCTTTTCCAATAATCAATCACAATTTAGTTGTTCTGTCAGGTAAACGTTCAGTCCTGCCTCACTGTTAGATTATGTCTGGATTACATCTCCCCAGATGCCCCCAAGAGGAGGTTAGAACATCCTGATGTGAGACTTTAAGCCACGGGACCTTCTGGCTGACATGCAAGAGCGCTCCCAACTGAGCCATGCTGGCACATTCAGAGAGCAGTACCGGGCACTGCAGCCAGAGAGGAGCAATCAGGGAAGCCAGGAGATAAACAGCACAGCACAGCAGCTGCAGGGAGAGGAGCTCCTGCTCCAGTTACAGTGAAAGTCGCATACAAATAGGCTCACCTGCCTTGGCCTCCAGGCAGAATGATAGACAGACTCCAAATCAAACCATGTTGTGCAGCACTTGACATGACAGCAATGGCTGCACAGAGAAGGCAACAGAGACGTTATTATTGTTACTTACGGAGTTCCAGCCCGTAAGTACACATGATCATAATTGTGCTTGATGCTTTCCAGAGATAAGAGGAGGCCCTGCTCCTGCCTGACACACAAGGAGGAGACATCCCTGCCTCTGGGAGCTAATAGGGGAAGAGGATACCAGGGATGGTTGGAAGGGTGAGCAAAAGAAATGGTTTACAGGAGGGATCAGAAGGAGCAGAGACCAGCCATTCAGTCACATGGGTGTGTGGAAAGCTGTCCCAAGTGGAGGAGGCAGCATGAGAAAAGGAGCCAGGTCAAGTGTGAGCAAGAGACAAAAGGAACCTTAAAGTGAGAGCAATAGGCTCAGAGTAGGGTCTGGTGGGGGAGGGGAAGGCAGAAGTGAATGCAGTGATGTAGGCAGTGGTGAGATTACGTGCGGCCTTGAAGAAGAGAGCGAGAAGCTTGAACTTGATGCAAAAGGAGAGGAAGCCAGGGAAGGAATATGAGGTGGAAGGAGATGTCATCAGAGCAGCAAAGGAGAAAACTGGTCAGAGCAGCATATGGAAGGGATGGGGTCTGCGGGAGACGCATGGAGAGGGAAGTGGAATCCAAGCAACCTCTGAGCCAGGTGTGTACAAGGGTTCTAGCAAGTGGGATTTTAGAGCTATTATACGGGAAGGATTTAGTGACCGTCAGGATATAGGGGGAGAAGGTGACGCAGATTGTGGACCTGGCTAATGGGCATGATACAGGGTGTCTGTGATGAAGAGCAGCTAATGCACAGCTGTGAAGCAACTTGTTTGATAGAGCTGGAAAGGAGTGAATATGGCGTTGGTTATGCCCTCCAAATAGGGGTAGAGTCAGCTGCCTCAGTGATGGGCTTCCAGAGCTGACAGACACTAAATTGCTTTGAGAATTGGGATACTGTGTGCTGCTTTTCAGGGATTCGCTAGTCATATTGGTTGATTTCCAGATGCAAATTAAATCTTCATTCTCACTTAGATAAATGTTTCTCTGCAGAAACATTTCCTCCAAACTACTGTAACGGGGCAAGGCCAGATGGCTATAGAAAAGTAGCGGGAGATAGATATATTATCTCCAGGCTAAACAAATCCCTGGTACCAGGATAAGTGAAATGGCAGCTGCTCCAGGTCATTTAAGACACCTGGGGCCAATTAAGAACTTTCCAGAAGACAGGGAGACTGCTAGGTTGATTGGGACACCTGAAGCCAATCAGGGGCTGGCTGAAACTAGTTAAAAGCCTCTCAGTTAGTCAGGTGGGTGTGCATGTCAGGAGCTGTGGGAGGAAGTTGTGCTGTTGGAGAGACTGAGTAGTACACACCATATCAGGCACAAGGAAGAAGGCCCTGAGGTAAGGGTGAAGTGGAGCTTGAGGAAGTGAGGGCTGCTGTGGGGGAAGTAGCCCAGGGAATTGTACACGTCATGTTTCTAAAAGGTCAGCTACCATAGCTGATACTATTAGGGTCCCTGGGCTTGAGCCCGGAGTAGAGGGTGGGCCCAGGCTCCCCCCCCTTTGCCCCCTGATTAATCACTGAGACTGGGAGACAACAGAGAGGCCCTGTGCAAGGAAGGATAACTTCTCCTCACCTCCCTTGCTGGCTTATGATGAAAATGGCTCAGTAGACTGTGACCCTTGTCTCTAGAGAGACAAGGGTTACGTGGAAGGTCACAGTGAGCCTCTGAGGCTAGCGAAATCCGCCAGGAAACGTGGGACCCATGGAGGCAAGGACAGAGCTTTGTCACACTACTTAAGGCTGAAGCATGGCTCCTGATGGTGAGAGCCAGAACATCAGCCCCCCATTCCCTTCAGTGGCGCTAGTCCGGCAGCTGCCTGAGAAGCAGCATCACAGGGAGGAAGCTCCATCAGGATTCCTTACATTCCCACACCTCCCTCCCAGTTCCATTAAAACGTACCAACGCAAACGGGCTCTCGCAGGGATTGGGTTAGGGTGCGCTTAGACAAGGGGGCTTGGAACATGCTGGGTAAGTTAACATGCTACATGTGGGTTTACCAATGTATATAAAAGAGGCCCTCATTTCAGTTGTCTCCTGCTCTTCCCCATCATTTCTACGTTGCCTGTACTCCTGGAATGTGAGCTCCTTGGGGCCGGGAGCCTCTTTGAATGGTAGGCAGCGCCCAGCATACAATGTGCAGCATCAGCATACAAAAAATAGATTTTCCTATGAAATCCATGGACCCGCTACTTTTCTATCTGGCCACTAGATGTCTCAGTCACTCTACAGAGGACAGTGCATTTATCAGAAGGTAAAGAGTTGATTCTCAATTGAGCACCAGGCATGGATAGTTGAGAGTGGTTCTCAGCCAGAGGTACACGTATCCCTGGGGTATTCAGAGGTCTTCCAGAGGGTACTCAACTCATCTAGATGAGTGTCTCTCAACCTGGTGGTTGCGGCCCACAGGGGGGTCATGAGCTATGTTCTCTCTAAGGTGCACACCTGCATGGCCACACAGAGGGCCATCAAGGGCCGTGCACCAGCCCTGTAGGCGCACACACAGGTGAGCGTGGAGGATGTGTAAGGTGGGTGGGGGCGGTGAGATGAGGTGAGGGTTGGTGATGGGGGCTTGGGAGAGGTTGGGGTGTGCAGGGCTATGGGGGGAAAAGATGCCTCTCTCCCAGCCCCAGGGCTGTGGTGGGGAGAGAGGGCTCCCTCGGCAGTACTGTACACAATTTATTATTAAACATTGCAATTTATATTAAAATCTGATCTGATCTTGGAGTTTACATTATTTATCAGCTTTGAGACCTGCTGCTGCTCCTACAACCAGACAATAAAAAATGACATTTTTCTTACTTTTGTACAATTGAACTGAAATGTAAAATAACTTTTAAAAATAGCTAATATGTTTAAAGAAATACATTGTTTCTTTCATTGAGAAAAAGTTACCTGACCTCTGTGCTCTTACCCTGTGCACTTGGGGACCAGACTACTTTGTCATAAAGCTACTATGAGAGAAATAATAGCATCAGTACAATTTCTCCATTTGTAGAAAGGAGCTGATAATTACTTGCTTCAGAATAGTTATTGTGTGGCTGAATTAATTCAAATGTATAAACTTATCTGATGGCCTCAGAAGGAAGAGGTGCAAATTATTAGTAGTTTTATTATTACGCCTCCATTAACTATGTTGGGTTTGGGGTTTTTTGAAGGGGGGTGGGTGTTGTGTGGACTGGATGGTTCAGGAAACTAATGGGATATGAAACCTTTAGTTAATCAGAATCCAAAGCAATAAACCAATATTAATAAAAATACATTACACTAATATTAATATAAAGCTATTATGTATCATTTGTGTTTATACTTCCTTCCCTCCTTTTTTCCCTTTCTGCTGACTGTATATTTTGGTGTATCTTATTCTCTCTCCCACACATCTGTTCACACTCACTTCCCCACACACCCACATATCCATTCACACACACTGTTTCTCAGGCCTATAAGAGGCACCTACTCACACTTTTGGGGATGTCTTTCTGATGCTGGAGGTGGGGAGAGAGTATTTCTTGTCTCTGTGAGAGAAGGGGCTGCTATAGAAAGGTCCTTTCCTTTTCTCCTTGCTAGATCTTTAGGCTTAGGGCACTGGTCTGCACTGCACTCAGTTTACTGTGCTTAGTTTAGCCTTAGCCCAGGCAGTGAGCCGAGTTACAATCAGCCACTCATCATGGATTCGGATGGAGAAGGGGACAAAGGGGAGGGTGCTGCAGTTGGGAGGGGGAAAGGGAGGTGCAGGATTGGTCAGTAGTTGCTCTGAGGACAGGAACAGGGAGGAGAGGGCACTAGAATCCTGGGAAGGGCAGAGGGAGAGAGCTGCAGAAATGAAAGTAATTGTTTATATTTGTCTCCCACCTGCCATAGGTAGCAGCAGGGTCTCCCCCTAGAGCACCGCTTGCTCAGGTGACGGGTATTTTTATTCATTTAAACATGTAATCCTTTTATGAATGCTTTTATAAACTCTTGTTTATATAGTGGCCATGAGTTCCACAAATCAATTGTTCATTATTTTAAAATGTTTCCTTTTATCAGTTTTAGATGTGTTGCTTTTCGTTTTTATTGAATGCCATCTTGTTCTTGTATTAAGAAAGGGTAAAACAGGAGCTCCCAATTTACCTTCTCTATCCCATTCGTTATTTTATGCAATTCTATTATATCCTTTCTTACCTATGCACTCTAATCTAAATACACCTCTACCCCGATATAACGCGAC